CCTCCCCCCCTCCCTTCCCGGGCGAGAAATCCTCCCCGCGCGTTTTCTCCGCCGCGGCGGCGTCGCCGATCCAAAACGCCACCGCGGCGCGTAAATTGGCGAGGACGTAGGTCTCCTCAGACGAGCGAATCGCGGCGCCGCGGTATTTCTCGATGAAGGAGACGTTTTGCCAGAAGTTGTAGGGCTGCGCGCGCAGCACGAGGAGGATGAAACAGGGCAAAAACTCATCAGCGCCAAAGGCGGGAACCACCCTTGCGGGGGCTTCCAAACCTCCCCCTTCCCCGCCTTCGCGCCGTTCGTTTCCGGGTGAACGACTCATCGCGGTGGGGTTCGACCGGCGGGCGAGCAGGACGTTCCCGACGATGAGGCTCAACAGCTCACTCGCTCGCATCGCGCAGCGGAGTTTATCCCGGGGGGATTTAAAAAAGTTCATCCCATCCAACTCAAACATCGTCTGCCCCCACATGTAGTGCGTCTCCACCTCGGGCAACGCGTCGAGCTGGTTCGCGCTCATCGTACTCGCCTGTTTGAGTTTCTCCTGTAGAATTTTATTTTTATCAGAATCGACAGGATCGGTGTTGAAAATCCGCGAATACAACCGCGACGTGATAAACTTCTCGAGCCCTTCTTCAAGAATCATGAATCGCGTTGGATCATGCCCGGTCGAACAAATCTTTTCGATCTCCTCGTGGGCGCTGTGCGTAAAACGGGCGTACACGCGATCAATTTTCGCCGGTGCGGGTTTGCGTTGCACCTCGAGAAGAAATCCGGTGATCAAACGCACCAACTCAGAGCAGATCGGGTCGCGCATCAAATGCTCGAACTCAGTGTAAAAGATTTCATTGTCTTCCGCCACAATTCGCCGGTAGTCCATAATACATTCCTTACTATACTTGTGCGTGATCAGGTTGGCATTTAGGCCGGAGATAGAGTGGGTTTGCCTCGGAGGAATCGTCGAGACCGGCGGGGTGGGATCCACCTCGACGACGACGTCATCTTCGGAAAAATTCCGCTCTGCGGAAACGCCCTCGCGGGAGGCGACCACCCCCACGAGCACCCCACCCTCCGTTGGGGAAAATAACCGAGGAGGCTGAGAAGAAAACGCCGCCGGCGAGGTCGCCCGCGGTGGTTGTAGGGCCCGGAAGAGATTCGATAACTCCTGCGCGTCCATTAGAGGGCGAGCGATAAAGTAGACGTGAAGCCGTAGCGGATGATACGAGCTCAACGAAGGATCGCTCGCGGGAAGGAGGGGGTTCATATCGCTCAGCACGGGCACCTCGCCGAGCCGCCCGAAGCGTTTCACGGCATCCAACGCGTCGGAGAACTCTCCTCGCTGGCCTCTCGCCGTCGTGAAACGCGAATCGCCCTCCGAATCGAAATGAATGAGGTGAAACAGGAGAAACTCACGCAGGGCCTTTTGGATCTCCGCCAACGAGCAGCCTTCAGCCGCGTCGCCGCCGGGGGGTGGGAAAGAATTCCGAATGGGCGGGTTTTCGTCGCCGGGGTGCGATCCTACCGGCAAGGAAGGCGCCGCGAGGTCCAACAAGCCGTTCAGATCGGAATTCTGCGGAGATGTTTGTGCGACTTCGGCAGGGTTGGTGGGGGACGAAGAGGCCTTGGACGCTTCTTCTGGTGGGCTCATCCGCAGAAACGCGTCCAGGCCGCACGACTGCAGCGAGGACTGCTGCGGAACAAGAAGGGCCTCATAAGGGCCCTTTTCTGTAAAGCGATTTAAAATACCGCCAGTTTTTAGTGCTTTTATGAACACGTTATGCAAGCACTCGTTTTTCTCAATGTTAAATCTTTTTGTAATAGAAGCGGAATGCATGTATCTAAAGAAGTAAAGGAGAAAAAAATGAGACAACACCAAGAAAAAGTAAGAATAATTGCCTATCAAGAGTGTAACACACCTTAATGAAGAAGGCCTAGTTCTGTATAAATACTCTGTTTCTTCAATAGATAAGTAAATCAAATGAAGGGAAAAAACGATCAAGAATCGATGAAATACGTTCAGAACATGCACATATGTCCGAACTGAGTAGATTTTCTCTGTAACCAATAGTCAAATATATACAAGAGACAATTACTCCACCGAGCACACGAGTTAGACGCAACACTCGTGGTTGCTGACCATGAATGTCCAATGCACATCCTGTGTGTGTATTTTTTTGTCAACCTGATACTTAGCCGTTCATTTATATTTTTTTAGAAACCAATTCTTACTTTAAAGGTGAAAAAGAAAGGTGCCCTAAAGTGATGGGGATGATGCCTCCTCGCTTAACGATCCCGACTGAACTCCCTCAGGAAACGCACCCCCCTCCCGCTCCATCGACCACCCCCACTGCTTCCTCGCACCTTCGCGCGACTAGTTGTCGACCTTCTTCGCGCCTATTTTCTTCGCCACCCCATCACACCAATGCGCGGTGAGCTCAATCTTGAACTCCGCCGACTGCACGCCGAAGAGCTTCAGCAGCTGCGCGGCCTCCGCACTAAGGGTATCGCCCTCCTCACACACCGTCGTATCCTGCAGCAGAACGATCACGCCCTTGTCGAGCTTAATCGGCAATCCGAGCTTCGCGAGGTGGTCGAACATGCTGTGCGGGAACTGCGGCAGCGGCCCGGCGTTCAGCACGAGCGAGCGCGTCGCCGTCTGCCCGGTTCGCGCGTACACCTGCGCGCCGATCTGCCCGAAATACTCCTTCACCTGTTTCTTGCTGAGATTCGTAAAAAGGAGGCCGCAGAGACCGGAGAGAAAGGGCGCAATCTTGTACAACCCACTCCGCTGCGAGCTCTCCTCGTCGCGCCCGATCGCGATCATCATGAGCTTGTTGTTGCCGAGAAAAAGGCGGCTGTCCGCGCTTCGATCCTCACGGATCTGCTGCAGGATGTTCGTGCGAATGTTGTGCAACCGCAGCGTGTAGACGCTGGAGTACTCATCGAGCGCCTCACGGATGCGTTGGATGAGCTTATCCTTATCTTCACGAGTCTTGGCCTGCGTTTTGGTCAGTGAGATGACCTTCGCGCGCTTGGATTTCGGCATAAGTGCAGCTTTTATGGAGGAAAAGAAATATCACTTTACCGGTGTGTTGAATATGTGCACCTCTGCTCATGTTTTAAAGAGAAGTTTGTGGAACGTTTGTGGAAATTAAAGCATTGTACAGGTGTTTGAAATGAGATTATAAATAAAGAGCATTCATGCTAATCAATCACTTTCAAAGCATCATTCTACCCACAACTTTTAAAATATATATTTTTATTTTTTTCGAACGCAAAAAAAAAGACAATATCTATATCTATATCTATGTATAGATAGATGGATATAGATATAGATATAGATATTCTGAAAATAATATATATAAGCATATGCGCGCAGTCATATTGTGAGAATATAAGAGCGCTTGCAATAGCTATAAATATCAAAAAAAAATTCAGATACTCTTATAGTAAGCAGTTTATATTGAAGAATATATACTTTTCTATACACATTTATCTACAAAAAAGCAGATACCTTTCGTAATAATAAGAGAGTTTGCCTAATAAGAGCCAAAAACTCTGAGCCCAAAACGATAGATATAATCCGTTGTCGAGAAGTTTTTCGTCTCATACCAGTGATGCCGATATCCAATCCCACGAACCAGTTCCACCGTTATCGATGGGTTCTTGGACTCAGCCTTGGACCCGTTCTCCCCTCCCACTTCCGATGAGGTGTCCGGGGCTGACGGGTAGAGGTGTTGGCGAAGCGCCTGCCTCTGAAACGCCCTTTCCTTCCTGTCTAGATGGACAATCGATCGGGGCTTTGCATTCAAATACCGCAACCACATGGGATTCTTCGACAGCGCGGTCAGGTCCAGGGAATCCTCCTCGTTCGTGGAGTAAATCGCCGGGCTGAAGGCCGTTGAATCCACCCCGCCCTCCATCCCGCGGGTTCGATCTGGGGAGCAGTCGTCGTAGATGACGTTGAGGAAATCCGTCGTGTTGATGGTCGTGTGGAGGGCCTTTTCATCGCACCCGCTACGCAACACCCATCCAAGGGTGTTATTCGTGATAGGGGGGAATCCCATCGTGTGAAGGCCCTCCCACGGGACGAAGAGGTCTTTATCCCCGTGAATCATCAACACGCTCGCGCGGGAGCTTTGATTTCGCAGCGCCGCGGTGCACAACTCGAGCCCTTCTTCATTCCCGGGGCGAAGCTCCACCACCCCGGAGACGGACGCCACCGCGCGAAAAACATCCGGCGCCTCACACGCGAGCACCTCCGAGAGCATCCCGCCGTTGCTAAACCCGGTTGCGAAGACCTTTGCGGGATCGACGCAGGCGCTGTTGGTGAGGAGCTGCACGATTTGCCGCGCGAAAGCGACGTCATCGGGGGCGTCGTGGTAAAACCCGCAACAGGTGCCCGCATTCCACGCCCGTCCAAACCACCCGGAGGCCCCGCACGCACTCACAAGGATGTAGCCGTCTTTCTCCGCGTACGGCATAAACCCCGTGGCGTGGAGGAAGTTATGGCATTCATCCCGAAGGCCATGAAAGAGAACCTGCAACGCGACCGGGGTGTAACGTCCATTCCATTGTTTGCGCTTTTCATAGGAGGAGGGGATGTACAGGACGACGTGGCGATCCCCGGAAGGGGTCGGGAGGAGGAGATCGACGGGCTGCCCGACGGGGAATTTGGGCGGCCCCGCACACCAGGATGACGGCCCCCCCGTGGAAGAAGCCTCCAGCAGGGCCTTGTCGTCGATTCGAATCACCCGACGCTTCGGTTCTCCTTTTCTGGTGGGTTTCTGAGGCTTCACGTGAGCGGTCGCGCGGGATGGCCAGTTGGGATGGACCTCAAGCGAAGCGGAAACGCCAGGTGTACTTAGGGATAAACAAATGGCCACCAGCAAAAGTAATGCAGTGAAACGAGGAAAAAGCATTGCATATATATATATATATCTATTGCTTCTGCTTCTGAAAGAATTCGAAAAAAAAAAAGAAAGCCTTATATGCTCGGGAATATTTCTATGGATAGAAAACTAAGGTTAAGCACTATGGAAGAGAATGTCGTTAAAAAAGACCAAATGTGCTTTGCCGCATGCAATTTGTAAAGGTGGGCTCATTCACTTAGCACTGATGCACCATTCAGATTATTATTGAGCGTTGATGGGAATCTTTTCTGTTATTTCAGGTAATCACATTCAGGTACCTTTATTTATCGAATAATTCGCACACGTGATGCATCAGTGATTCTTTAAGTATTCTTTTAGCAAAACTAACGCTTTGGAGCGATGGGATATCTTATTTTTTTCGGCGATATCCATCTCCGCGAACGTCTTGGCGTAGGGTGGGTTTTGCTGCTCCGGTGCAAAGATGGCATCCCAGCCAAAGCCATTCTCACCTCGCGGGGCGTCCACGATCTTGCCCGGGCAAACCCCCTTAAACTGCACCACGAGCGGCTCCCCTGTTACTTCGTCGACGCCGTAGCAGCAGGAAAAGATGCAAACCGCCGCGGCGATGCGGTGGTGATCATCCTGATGGTTGTTGAAGCCTTCCGCGAGGCGCGTGAGCTTTTCACTGCCGAGCGAGCTTAGAAACCACTTAATGTAGGGGCCTGGTAGGCCGTTCAAGACGTCAAATCCGAGCGACGTATCCTCGACGAGAACCGGCGTAAGGCCACCTTTCCCCTCATCCTCCTTCATCGCCCTCACGTTGTGGTTTCCATCGGGGAAGTTATTCACCCGACGAAAGGCCTCAACGGCCTTTAACGAACTGATCTGGGCGGCGGTGGGCGCCTGCAGCTCCGGAAGATCCATCCCGACAGCCTCCAGGTGGATATGCGAGAGCCCCGAGAGGCTGTGCTGCACCTCCCGCAGCTTTCCCGCATTTCCCGTGACGAAGAGGATCGTTTTCACGTCGCTGGACCCCACAGACGACATCGAGCGCTTGGAGGTGATTATAAATATTCAACGATAGGAAACGATACGTGTTTGTCAAGAGCGGAGACGCGAGGCTCGCTTCTTTTTCAAATAATGTGTGGAAATCCGCAGTGCCCGTTGGCGAAAAACAAACGTGGGGAAAAGAGATTAGGGAGGGAGGGACGGAAACCGCAATGAAGCGAAACAGTCGCAAAGGAGGACAAGAAAGGAGTCATCTCGAAATTACCGTCCCCTTTTAAGATTAAACCAGCAACGAAAAGAAGCGCAATGCCCTGATGTTTTTGGTTTGGTCAAGGACGGAGCATTTATTTATTTAGTTTTTCCTTCTCATTGCACTTCCCCTCCCCAGCTATGATACCTTTTCGCGCGGAACGGCCCGATGGGTACGCCAAACTCATCCGATGAAGATCATTCCAAACGTTCTCCCCCCGCCCCCCCATCGGTTCCGTTCGCCCCTGCCGAATCCAACCCCTCCTCCGTCTCCGTCTCCGCCTCGTTGCGCGGGCCCACGGCGTTTGGAAACTCCTCGAGGAAACCGGGGAATCGCGGCGCGAAGGCCGCGAGCACCGCCGCGGCCTCCATTCCCACCTCGTCGAACGCGCGGAGCAGCCGTCGGGCGTCCGATTCGTTGAAATCCCGAGCGACCTCGACGGCGCGTGCGGCGCAGGCGTGAAAGACCGGCGCGATGGCCATCCGCAGCCCGGCGTAGCTGGCGGCGATCGTCGCGAGCTGCGAGGGCCCCCAGAGATGCGCGACCGTCTGAACCCGCGGGGTGAACTCGACGAAGAGCTTTTCGTACCGCATCCCGACCAACGCGTAGGCCGCGAGGAGGTTCACCACGCACGACGGGCGGAACTCCGCGCGGAGCTGAATCGCCCGGTCCGCGAGGCTCGCGAAGAGTTTGTAATGCCAGAGATTCACGCGCGCGTAGGCGTAGACGACGTGCGTGATATCCCGCGGGCTCCCATACACCGCCACGTGGCGAACCCGCGCGATCATCTCGATAAACAGCTGATCATGCCGGACCCCGGCGCCCGCGAAGGCGTCGAGCAGCGCCGCGATCGTGACCGCCGCGATGCGGTGTTTCTCCCGAATCGCGCAATCGGCGAGGAGGGCGAAAAGCTCGTCGTTCGCGCGCCGCGCGAGGGCGTGGGCGTGGGCGAGCGACACCATCGTCCGCGGCGAGGCCGACCCCACCTGCGCGATCACGCGGAGCGAAAGCGCCTCGAACAGCGGATCCGCCGCCCCGCCGGTCCGCGCGAGGGAGAGAAGCACCTCGGCAATCGCGTCGACCTCCCGCGCGAGCTCGTCGAGGTGCCCCCGCAGCGTCCGCTGGAGGTGGGTTAAACACCGCTGATAACACGGATAGGCGTCCGCGACGGATCGCCGCAGAAACGCCTCGGGGAGGCGCGCGAGAACGGAAAGGAGCTGGACGGCTTCGGGGTAGGAAAGCGCGGGGGCGGCATCGCCGGCAAAACGGCGCTCGATCTGCTCCAACAACCGGCGGGTGAGGGCGGGGTGCTGGACATCCATGCGAATCAGAGCCAATTGCGCGACCACGAGGGGTTCCAACCCGACCTCCCCATCCCGGGCGAGCCCCACGATCCGCTCGACGAAGGCCCAGAGGAGCTTAAAATTCCACACCAGCATCTTCGCATAGGCCGCGAGCAGGTGCGCGAGGTCGCCCGCGGAGGGGGGGGGGTGGCTCGGCAGCAACGAAAGCAACCGCGGCGCGGCGATGACAAACGGCGCCGTGGACGGGTACTCCACCAACGCGAAGCCCCCCAAGACGTCGGCGAGTTGGCTAAACGAAAGCTCCTCGGTCGGGGCTAAAACCCGCAGCCGCTCGCAGACGGCCTCGCAAAACGGCTCGCTGCGAACCCCGGCCTTTCCGTAGTACCGCATCAACAACGCGATCTGATTCGCGGAGGCGCGCGGGATGTACTTGACGAGGACCGCCGCGGCCTCCCGCATGATCCCCCGCGTCGCCTTCCCGGGAATCTCGCAGGCGTACTTGAGGAAATAAA